GTCTGATGAAGGTTATTGATCAGATCCCATCCAACAAACATCATGTCCACAGGGGACAGATCAGTGTCTCGGACTGACAGTACCATGATGAAGTCCAAGTGTCCCTCGTTGCTCAGCTCTTGCAGGGTGTTGTGCGCCTCCTGCAGTCGGTTCAGGTTCTGGTTTAACTGGTCCGTCTGGTTCTGGAGGGACAGGATGAGGACGGCAGCAGACGTCTCCACCTGCTGCATGAACCCCACCTCCTCCTCCTCAAGGCAGCGCCGCAGTTCGCCAAACTCCTTCCTCACCACCCACTTCAGCACGTCAGACTCATTCTGATTGGGCAGAGAGAAGCAGTTAATGTGGTCATCTCCTACTGGCTGAGGTTGTGAGTTGAGGGTAGAGTGAAAACACTGATCCTCCTGAGACACTGCGATTAGTTGATCAGGATAAAAAGTTGGAGATCACAGTCTGAGGTGTAGTTCTTATCTTTGGCCATCAGGTAGCAGTGTTCATGTTGAGGTTTCTTTTTTTTCATGTGGAAAAGGAAATGTTTGATTTGACATAAACATCTGACGACAAATGTCCTGGGGAGACAGTGTAATTGGGCGACACGCCGGTCGGTTTTTAGTTAATGTCGCAGTGACACAAACAAACGGATGTGAAAATTATAAAACGTGAAACTCACCGTGATTCTCGATCTGTTGTACGAAAGTTTACAAATGTGATCTTCAAATTTACGTTTCTGCTGCTGGAACTCCGTCATCAGACAGGAAATATCCTCCTAAGAGACAGACAGGCAGAGAGACAGACATATTAGACAGATTTGGACATTGTTAACAAACATCATGAAGAAGTTATGGTTCTTCTCCTGACCCAGAGTCCAGATCACAGGGGTTTGGTAAAGACCAGGACAGAATCAAGGCCAGAACCAGAACTAGGACCAGAACCACAACCTGAACCTGAGCCAAGTCTAAAACAGAGTATACCTGTTGACCTCAGCTCCATCTGTCCTCTCTGGAGACCCACCCTGAGACCTGGAGACTGTCTCCAGCACAGAACCAGGACCTGACTCAGTCTGTACAGTCCTGACATTTCATATCTGACTGGCACCTGCTCAGTCTAAAAGACTTCCAGGACAGAATCCACATCGGCCATTCTGAGCCTCAGTCTCCTCTCAGCCTGGACAGTGTCAGAACCGATCATCGATGGTAGATTTGGACACGGTCAATCTTGGTAAATCTTCAGTAAACAGACGACCGCGTTTTACGTTTGAGGTACTGAGCTCAGTCGACTTTAAACAAACAGCTAAATGTCTCTGTGCAGCAGTCTACAACTAGTCTTTACTTTTAATCTATACATCACATTGTATTTGGATTGTCTCTGTGGCAGTTGACCATGCCACTGGGGTCCTCCACAGCAGCCAGAGACGAACCACTCAGTCTTCAACATTTCACCTGGCTTCATTTTATTAATACAAACAAAACTCACAAACTCTAACCTCAAAATATATCAGCAGGAAGTGATTATTAATTAGTATTATAGTTTGCTATCTTTAACTTTTGCTTCACCTTCACCTTTATTCTTATCTTTATCCTTATCTTGAGCTTTGCCTTTATCAACGACCTCAGGTTTCTGTTGAGGATCCAGTCCAGACACTTGACCTTTATTCTTTTATGACTATTGTTTTTGTTTTCATGTTTTCTTCTTGTCTCTTTTACTTGTGAAGCACTCTGTAACTTTCTTTTGAGATGTGCTATAAGTAAAGATATCAAAGATATTATTATTAATAAACCTCCTGCTCAGCTGATGACACGACAGAACACACTCCATTTTCTTAAGCCGGCTAATATTATGTAGATATGATCCAAAATGTCGACCATGGAAAGTTAGACAGGAAGTAACAACTTTGTGCCAGAGGGCAGACGCCATGGAAGGTCCCTGTGTTACAGTGACTGTACCATGTGACCTTATTGTCGTTAATCTGGGAACTAAAAGGTTGTATTTGATTCGTCTTAATCTTGACGATATGATGCGGCTCCTTATCAGCATCAACAAACTGTTCTGGGTTTAAGTTCGGTCAACACGTCTGTTCCAGTGTTTGACTTTACACTCATTTACGGTAATCATTTAACCACAGAACGGTGGTTAAATGATTACCGTACATGAATGAACAGATCCTTCATTTTTCATTTCAACACTTTATAATCTCAGAGTCGAACCTTCATGCGGCTGTAGACGGAGCTCACAGGTGTGATCTTGTGTCCACGGTGAGCACCGATGCTTCCACAGAGGCCACAGATCACCGTTAGTTCGTCCTCGCAGTAAAGGCTGAGCGGGTTGTGATGCTGAGGACACGACTCCAGCTGAGCTCCACCTGAAACACTCACTTCCTGTCACCACCAACAAGTAATTACAGTCATTAGTTTTTAACAAAACATCACTGATAGTATCTCTGATCTCAGCTGTTTTTACCTGCAGAGCGTCAATAATTCGAGCCAAAGTAACGTTGGGAGAAGGACTGTCTCCGTCCACTGCACAGCGACACACAGGACACTGCAGCTGGCCGAGCAGGTCCATCGTCATGGAGCGCACACAACACCTGGACAGATGGTGTCAGGACAGGTGAGGTGAAGACAGGTCAGGACAGGTGAGGTGAGGACAGGTCAGGACAGATGAGGTGAGGACAGGTGAGGTGAGGACAGGTAAGTCCCCTCCTCACCATCTTACCTGCAGTAGGAGTGTCCACACTGTAACATCAGTGGTTCTGTGAACACGTCTAAACAGACAGGACACCTGAGCTGCTCCTCCAGACTCTGACGACGCTCCATATCCACAGCACTGGCACCAGAACCACCGGGTCCAGAGCCACCGGGTCCAGAGCCACCGGGTCCAGTCGGACCAGAACTACCAGGACCCTAAAATCAAAGCCTCCAGACTTGAGTGACTGCAGCTCTGACTCTGATTATACGGAGCCTGTTTTCTTCTCCGGGGAGACTGACTGGACCAACACAGTGGGAGGAGCCAGAAGTTAATTGGTCCTTTGTGTTTCGAATGTTTGGAAAATGTCAAAATATTTGAAAATGATAAGAACCTTTCAGTCGTATTCAGACGGTGTAGATTCGTCTTCTTCTTCTTCCTCCACGACTTCTTCTTATTGTTATAACTATTATTCATAACAATAATAATGATACTGTTGTTGGATTGTGACTTTTGTGCTTTTAAACTCTTCATCTGATAAAAACCTGAACGTCACCTTCACCGTCTCCATGGAAACAGACTTACAGGAAACAGGAGGACCAGATTCTTCTCCTGTTAGACAAATGATTGTATAAAGGTTGTATACATTCTATTTATTTATATTATATTTATCATCTATAGTTTTAATTCATATAATATATATATACTCTTCTCTAAAACAGCGCCACAGTTTGTTTGAATGTTGTTAAAATAAAAAAAAGATAGTCAGCTGGTGTCTGACGTCACCGAGAGGTCAGCTGACAAAACAGGAAGTGAGGGGCTTCCCGGAGCTCCAGGGATCCAGCTCAGCCAGAGAGTCCACAGCACAACTTTATTTTGAAGGATTCAGCGCGAAGGAAGGTGAGAATTGATAAAAACATGAGCTAGCGGGCTGCTAACATATGAACAGGTTGCTAACCAGCTGCTAACATATGAACAGGTTGCTAACAAGGTGCTAACATATGAACAGGTTGCTAACCAGCAGCTAATATATGAACAGGTTGCTAACAAG